ATATTTAAGCCCTTTTGATTGGAGTCACGAACAAAGCTGCTAAACTGCAGGTGGTTTTGATCTGCTTCTTAATTCGCCCAGATGATGTATATGTAAAGGTTTACCCACCCAAGAACTCATCAGCCACACTTTACAAAGACAGAAGGCAGCCCAGGGTAGAAGGTGACTGAAGTCAGCTAGGGAGCCAAACGCGACTTAGAAAAAGCAACTGTTTAACCCAACACTTTCTGGCTTTGAAATGAGATGGTGAAGATTAACATCCCTCTCCCATAACACACTAAACACACTGACTGCACACAGCATGCTCTCCACAGTCCAAAGTCAAATTCTTCAGGCATCCCCTCTCCCCATTCTTGATTTTGAATAACACGGAGTTCTTTGAAAGAAAACCTACAAATATGTGTTTCTTATTGTGACGTTTTTTTCACATAAGGGATTGAGAAAACAATTTAATGAGTTTTAAGTGCATATGTGCATAAATGAGTACATGCATTCCAGGTACAGATACCAGAACCCTAAGGGGCTTGAGTCCTTTACATAAAATGGCACAGTATTTACATGCTTTCAATCATCCCCAGCTCCCTTAAAACACTGACAACAATGTAGATGCTATATGGATAATTTTTATATTATTTAGGGAATAATGAAAAGTAGGGAGGTATACATATTCAGCACAGAAGCAAATTTAAAATATATATATATATATATTTTAATCCAAGAACCACAAGATCTGACGCTGATCATAAGATGCATCTCTTATTCTAGGTTATTGATAACCGAAAAAACAAGGCAACCACCACAAGGTGGGCTCTCTCATCATGTAGGTGAATTACACATGTGTGAGACTGCAAGACCCATCTGCAATATTCCCAAAGACACTTTACATGAATCCCCTCCCTTGGCTTCTTCCAATCTGAGGTGCCCTACTTCCCCCCTTCCATCCTCACCTTTCACCTGTGAGGAAAGAGCATATAGAAGAAACAGCTGTGCGCATCAGTCTGCAAGGCTGTGTGCACCATGGCTGAGCCTACCTCTGGCAACTCAGGATAAGTAACACATTGTAGAGTCAGCCTTCCATTCCTGCAGGCTCTATGTGCATATCGATCCATCCACCCAGCATCCTGTAGTGCGCTCTACTGCTCATAGTCTCAAGGATTTCATATGTGTAATTGTACCCATTCCTCTCCTACATCAATCCTCCTTCAGACTTAAATCCACATGCAAGATTGTTCATCAGGTGAAGCCACTTGCTTTGCAGCATGGGCCTGATGGATTACCTGATTTTAATCCCTGGAACCCACAGATAACTCCACAAAGTTGAAAGACTCCAAGGAGAGACCAACTCCACCAAGTTTTCCTCTGACTTCCATACATGCCTTGGCATGCATGTCTCTCCCCCTTACATCATGCACATACAACATGATAATAATAATAAATATGCAAATTTAAAAGACATGCAAATAGGATAGAAGTGGGGGGATTTCAGTGGAGAAATAGTTAAGAGAGAACAATGGGGGATTTGATCAAAGTCCATTATATAAATTATGAAATCATGAATGAGTAAATTTTTTTAAGTTCATAAACCTAGATATAAGAATTTAGACAAGCCGGATGGTGGGGGTGAACGCCTTTAATCCCAGAACTTGGGAGGCAGAGGCATGTGGATCTCAAGTGAGTTCAAGGCCAGCTTGGTCTACAGAGTGAGTTCTAGGACTGTTACACAGAGAAACCCTGTCTTGAAAAAAAACATTAAAAAAAGAAAATAATTTAGACAAGGGAGGGAGTGGAAGGGGGGACAGGAGGAGGATTGATATGTAAAATGATTGTTACTAAATTAAAATCAGAAAAGACAAAAAAAAAAGAATTTAGACAAAAGCAGTCCACCCCAATGGTGACCTCGAAAGTTTATGGTGAGCATGACATAATGTACATGAACATGATTTAAAAGTGATGAATTGTGCCATACTTCATCAGAGAGGCAAATTCACAGACTTTGAACTTCAATTTACTTCTGCAAAGGAGATCTGGTGACTGAAGAAAAGACCCATGGCTATTTATCTTAAGACTGCTCTTTCATGCAGCCGTACAAAGTAAGAAATGCTATTTCAAACTTCTCTACTTCTGTATTCCCAGAATTGTTAGGAAATCAAAACAGCCTGGGAAATGAAGACTGCCATGAGATGGAAGAACTATATCTGACCCACATGACTATTCTCAGTTTTCAAAAACCTGAACCCAGTCAAACTTAGCATTGGGGGAGGCGTGAAAGGGGAAGAGAAAATAAGACAAAACCGGATCTTCAGCCCTTGTCTTTCCCGCATGACAGCCAGCTGCGTTTGACACGTGCCATAAGCAATTTGGTTTTATTCTGTTGTATACTTTCTCAACCAACAAGAGTGGTTTTCCTGTCATCCTCTGACATTGTGAGCCTACTCCAAAAAAGATACCACAGGGATTTTTATTATCGTGGGAAACACCACACACCCAATTTAATTTAATTATCAGCTGAAATAAATCAAGCTGTATTAATTTCTATGACCCAATGCATTTTTAATTATGCTGAAGCTAATTTGTCTTTGATACCTCAAAGAAGAGAGGTCCTCTGCAGATAGTTAAAATGCCATTAAACTAAAGTAATCACAATTAACATCTGCCATAGTCAATATGGTCCATGTAGATAGGGTAGCCACCATCAAACAGACTGCTCTCAAGAGAGCTGGAAAGACTCAAAGATTTTTAAATTTGGAATAACATCTAACGTCATTTGTTCTAAAACTATTACATGACCCACAAAAGTCTGGTGAGTTTTCAATGAGCTCCTAAGTTACAGCTGGCTATCAAAAGAAATCACAGTATTAAATCAATGTTAATTGCTGCTACCTCCACAGGACTCTTCTCTAATGTGGCCACGTAAGACATCCTACCACAGTGAGTCATGATATCTTGGAAGATGGTTAGAGAAAGTAGGATTCATACCTAGAATAAGGGGAACCTATACTAAAGGAGATGGATATGATGTGTTGGATAGAATTTGCACAGATTGTCAAGTTTCTAAATGACACTCTAGAACCTAGGAAACTAAGGATGGGAAACCTTAGTAAAAGATGTAGTTGTACTCTCCTGGGAGAAGCAGCTGTTGAAGAACAGGAAACATGAAGCTGAAGAGAAAGTGAGTCTGTCAAAAAGGTTGTGGAAAAATACAGCAGATCATCATTGTCCAAAAGGCTGGACCCATGCTTGAAGAAGTGTCCAGAACTGTAAAACATTATAGAATTAAAGCTTTTTTTATAGAAAAAACTCAATTTCTTGAGCTTGTCCTACAGTAGAACACCTACCCAGACTTTGTAGGTAGAGAAAAATAAATTGTATGTATAATAAAACTATTTAATTGACTGATCACAGATGAAAGTGGAGACAGGCAACACCATCTACAAAAGATACCCGGGTTGCAAAGCCTGTCTAATTTTTTGTAATTAGGCAGAACACATGTGTCAAGAAGGTGTAAGCCAATCATAAGAAAAGGTGAACACCAGGGGACTCAAAAAGTCCCACAAAGCAAACCACCACCTGGGGAAAGAACACGAATATGTCTGTTGATTTTTCCCATGCGTACCTCACTCTTAAGGTTACTAACCCCCCACGTGGATGCAAAGACCTATTTATCCAGCTAACTAAAAACTATTCTGTTTCCTTTAACAATATGCCAGTCATTACACCTACAGCAATATGAAGATGTTCCCTAAGGGCTGTTAAGATGATCTCATTTAGGGAAAGTGGACACCAGAAGAATAGAGTGTAGCGTAAAGGTGTTCTGTTCTTATTACCAATAACTACTGATATTTTGAACAACAAGACAAGGCAACAGTCATAGGACATGACTTACGGATATTAATATTCATCATTGAGAACCACAGAAAGTTTTAACTTTGGAAGCCATTAGCACTTGTCTAATGTTATTATACCCCCTGTGTGTTAATTATAAGCAGTAAGCCTGCTGCTGAGGGCTAGGTAGTACAGTTGTTAGGGAGGACGGCGGTAGAGAGAGGAAATGCTAGTATGTAGGCCTCAAGATATCTCTTGATATCAGCTTGATATATCAGCCTTATGAGTTTAACTGGGCAATCCACCCATGACAGAACAAAATAGCCCAGAGGTCACAGACCATAGGACCAAGAAAGACTACAGCTGTAGAAAGTGACAGTCCCAGACCAAGATGTTGGCTCTCAGAAGTTTTGTTCATACTAGATTATGGTTGGGACTCTACTCAGTGAGACTATACTAAGCCTATGCAGGAAACATCTTCCTCCAACTTTTCAAATACTAAAAAGATAGACTGGTTTAAGGGAGGCAGGAGGGAATGGACTCCTTCAAAGGATCTGTCAGAGACAACAGGAATAAAAACACACACCCTACAGATAGACAGGCTGTGTAAGGAGAAAGGCTATGAAAATTGTTCCATGGCTAAAGTAAGAAGGTATCAGCCCAGCACTTTGTAAATGTTATTAGAGTAAGACACATCCAGATTTTTAGGTGTCACCATGACCACAAAAGTAGTACCAAAAAGATGGGCTATGGATACTTTATCATGAGGACAAATAACAATGTTTCAGCTGGTTCATGTTTTAAGATGATCTTCAAGCGTGAGAAAAATGGTGATAAAACTCTATTTCCAGAGTTATTTTCCTTAGTGTTATTATTATGAAACCATCTTACTTTCTCAATACCTTTCTGGACACAGCCCAAATTCAAAATACAAAGTAACCAACCTAATGAAAAGTGCGTTTCCTGCTAGTCTGCATTCTTTTGTTTGCTTTTTTTCTCCCCTGGCTGCAGCTGGGAGAGTTGAAATTGCATGTGGCAATTACTATTTTACACCTTTTGTAAACTCCTTGTGGTTCCTCTGACAGCCCACAGGTGCTTTACTCTTGCATTCGAACCCCTATGAAGATGATCTGTGTAAAAACCATGTTCGCCACCATTATAAACACAAAAATATGTACCTCGTTCAAACTTTAACCGCTGGTAAAGTTGATACTCGGCCACGGGCACCAGACAGGCAATCTGAAATCAGAGACATTGGAGAGGGATGAGATTTCGGTCAGCCAGGGGTCCTGTATCACCAGCCCTTTCTGATGTCTTTCTCTGACTTTGCCTCTATAGCCTCTGTCCCAGTAGTCCAGAAACCATTGCCTCAGCTTGTTCATGCAATAACTAACACATGTAGCAATTTGCAAAGCATCTCACTCCTCTTACCACGGCTAGGCACCTGCTGGTTGCCTCCACTCCTTGGTCAGCAGTCACTAACCAAGTTTTGCTATTTGGTGTTCTCACATTGTGTACAGGTATGGAAGAAGCTCTTCCCTTTTCTACACTCCCTGAAAAAGAAACTTTCAAAAGACCCTATCTGTAGCTTTGGATCTTTAAGAACTAAGGTCAAGTAGACATCACCTCAGTAATTATGCAAACTTTGTATGTAGAAATGGTACACTCTGGCTGGGCAGTGGTGGCTCACACCTTTAATCCCAGCACTCGGGAGGCAGAGGCAGGCAGATATCTGTGAGTTCGAGGCCAGCAGTCTAGAGAGTGAGTTCCAGGACAGGCTCCAAAGCTACAGAGAAACCCTGTCTCTTGGGGGAAAAGAAAAAGAGAAAAGAAAAGAAGGGGTTAAAAGAGAGAGAGAAATGGTACCCTCTGAATGATACAAACTTCTCTACTGGCCAAATTCTCTTCCCTTATACCACACTGACATATTGGACAATGGCAATAAGGGACGGTCTTAGGACATTACTTGTGACTAGAATCCCGTTTCCACTTTGGATAGCAGAATGAGCCAAGGGTTTCCTAGTAAACAACAATGATTCATAATAACAAGAGACACTTCACATTAAACATTTTAAAATTATATTTCAAACAATAATGATTCATAATAACAAGAGACACTTCACATTAAACATTTTAAAATTATATTTCAAAGTCAGAGGGAGGAAAAGCTAACTGCTCTTATAAACCAGAATTCTAAAAAATATTAGTTACATATATAACTATATATGGCCATATATAACTATGCTGATGCCACCAAATTACAAATGAGAAATAGAACGATTTCAGATCAGCCTCTTAGAAATTAAAAAAGTTCATATGGGCCCCTACCCTTAGCCTTGGTAATTCCAGCATTAAACTGTTAAGCTCCTATATGTGCACTGTTATATACATTATGCATATATCAACAATATATATAATTTTGTTACAAAATACACTTAAATAAAAAAAATCTTGCCATGAACAAAACAAAGCCTGCTTTGAGAAAACTACAGTAAGGTGATGTAAATAGAAATGCATTTAGTAATTACAAAATATTTTAAGAGAACATACAAAATATAATTATGTAGCTCAAAAGTAGTCTCAATCTGTTTATTTCACAATCAGACCAAGTTAACAAAATGAATTAAAGACCACAAAATAATCAAGTTTAGTTTTCTGCATACCTAATTCAGTATGATAAATTCAATTTGTTCTGAAAAACGATTCCCTTCAAACTTTCTTTTACCAAATTGAGAAAAAAAAAAATGTGTTTTCATCTGGTACCTTAAAGAAAAGTTCCTTAGCAAACCTTGTGAGAAAAATAGGGCCAATTCCATGATGCATGCATTTTGCTATAGTTTTATATGACTGGACGTCAGCAATGCAGTAAGTTAGATTTGTTCATTTGCTACTGGACCACACAAAAAGCTCCCCTGAAGATCAAAGGCATTGTGAATAAATTCAGAGTTGAAAGAAAGTCCCTAGCAACAGTCACTAGAAAACAGAGCTCATTGCTTTGACTTTGTCACTGGTCACTGTGTGTGGAGGGTAATGCTGCTTCAACTTTGGGCAGGGCCCAAATTGACTGGGGGTAGGCATCATCTGGACCCCAAGTGGTATTCCATCGCCCAATTTTTACCTTCCTCTTCCCGAATGCCACACTCGAGATCACTGATTCTATGTGACAGTCAGGAGGCTTCCTTACCCTCAACTAAAACAGTTTCTGGACTGATTCAGACCTTATTTAATTCCATCAGAGGAAGTTCTTAACGATGCTAGTTTTATAATGTATAATAGCTAAGCCACATAATATTTATGTGAGACAAGCAAACAGGAAAGTGTTTTAGAAACAGATCATATGTCAATGAGAAAAATGACAAAAAGTGACACAGTAAAAACTAACAATAGGGTTGGATGTTTATTTTAAACTAAAAAGGAAGATTTCATCTGACCAATACTTTATGGCCAACAGGAAAGGCATAAATCTCAAACATTTTGTGTGTTGACCTATTTTATTTTTGCCATTTATTATCTCATAAAGTCAAATATTTATTTAGAATCAGGCTTTACCAAAGTAAGTTGACTTTTCCACTGAAGTTTACAGCCACTGAGAGTTATCAGCGCTCACCCTGACCCTTCTGGACAGATAAAAATCCTAGAGCATACTCATCTGATGGGCAGAGCACTTGGCAGGACATCCGGGCTGTGCACAAGATGTGCTCAAAGAGTGAAATCACTCAGAAGACAAAATACACATTTAAGGGGCAGAAGGAATTTAATCCCTGATTTTGTCACCTCTTATACTTTGTGAATTAAAACTAATGTCCTAAAGCGTTTTGTCACAGTGTGTTTTTTAGATGAGAGAGAGCTGGACCTGGTTTACAATACATGCACGCACATGCACACACACACACACACACACACACACACACACACACACACTCACTCATTATCCTAAGTATTAATTCTTGGCTACACTGTCATTTGAGGGCTAAGTTATAATTGTTTAAGGCTTCCATTTGGACAATTATAAAATTTAAATAATTCCATTAGGATGAGTTCTAGAAGGTTCCGTAAGGCTACAGGTGAAAGGGTTGCAGCAGGTGTTTGAGGATGTTCAAAGTGCTCAAAAACGGTCAGGCGACTAGACTGAATCCCAGGAGAAAATAAGTGAGATTATACAGAGCCATCTTACATCTACCTTTATCCTCTTTTTTTTCCCCAACAGAGATATTCAAAATTGTCCAAAATCATGCTATAAAGCTGGTTTGAAACTTTTCATTCCCAAATAAATTTCAGACTCATTACATGTCATAAAGGTGGAATAAAGACTTCCCAAGTGCTATTCTCTCAACAGTTCCTAAAGGGAAACTTACATAAAAAACAATCATTAATTATTAAAAGAATACAATTTAAATTGGTATAATACAACTAAATGATTGCCAGGACTTATTAAAATTTCACACATTCTCCCACTGTCCTTTTCCAGTCTGGTACCCAATCCAAGCTACAGCCTGCATCTAGCTACAGTGTCTCCTGGGCCTTCTGTGGCTGTTTTTAGTTTATCTTTTCCCCTTCTGCTTCCACATGTTTGAAATATACAGGCAGCTACCTGTTCTCCAGCTGTGGTTGTCCTGATGATGCCTTAGGTGATGATTAGATCATTTGTGGTGTGGGGACCATTGAGGGGCATGTGGGAACCACAATAATGGTGATGTTAACATCTTGATTTGATTAAGAGAAGCAATGCCAGGTTTCTCTGTCCTTTGTAATCTGCACATACCTTGCAGGAGGGTTTTAAGTCGAGGTCATTTTTTAAAATCTGTCTGCCACATGTGACTAGATGCCTACTGAAGGGGGAGAAAGGGTTAGAGTTTGTTGTAAGCCATCCAACCTGGGCATTGGGAACCAAACTTGGGTCCTCCAGAAGAGTGGGAAGTGCTTCAAGCATTAAGACATCTCTCCAGGCACTTATTTAAAGATATTTAAGATAGAGAACATCCTTTCAATGATTAGGAGACACACAAGATGGACATGAAGACACAGAAGACTGTACACACAAACACACACACGTACCCACACACGTGCACACAATGTCAGAGGGTACAGGCAGAAAGGACACGTGTGTAATCACCTTTCACTGGTTCAGGGCATTATCTGAACAGGTTTTGTGTGAAGACTTTTAACTGAGTTGAAAACTCACAAACATGAGTTCTAGGTGGTCACACTGTCACTGTAAAGTGGTAAAATGTTTAAGCATTATATACCAGTTAAAAATAAGTTTAACTTAGGCTAGGGCAATGACTCAGTGGAGAAAACCACTTACTCTAAAAGTCTGGTAGCATGTGCTCCATTCCCAGAACCCATGCAGACACAATACTTACATACATAAAGTAAATCTAAAAAAAATTTTTTTTAAAGAGACTACAGTCTGGATCAACTACTAAAACTTCCCAGTTTAATTTAGTTACTGTTTTTCCATATCACCTTTGAACTTTGTGTTAATTTACTTGTTAAGTAGAAATTTCCTTCTCCTTGGACCTAAGCATAAAGGATAACTTTTCTTCCTCATCCTTCCTGACATTCTTTTGAAAAATTAAAAAAAAAAAAAAAAAGAAAAAGAAGCAATATAAAGAGAACATGAGAAATAATATCAGACATTAAAAAACAAATATCTTTGCTCTAATCTCTTGTTTTCTGGTAAGAATGAACCTAGCGATGCTTACTAACTATCCAGCTGCATTTGTCTTTTCTATTCCATCTGAATCACAGCAGAGCTAGGAAGTCAGAGTGTGTCTGCCCATGGGGAGCCAGGACAGGTACACACAAGGGAGCCAGGACAGGTATACACATGGGAGCCAGGACAGATGATACACACAAGGGAGCCAGGACAGATACACACATGGGAGCCAGGACAGATAGCTACACACATGGGAGCCAGGACAGATACACACAGGGGAGCCAGGACAGATACACACATGGGAGCCAGGACAGATAGCTACACACATGGGAGCCAGGACAGAAGCTACACACAACAGTTGCCTGGGCATCTCCCACAGTCACAGCTTAGGAGAAAGGAAGAGTGGGGATCAGCTTTTTTAACACTGTTTGCTAGAACCATAATATGGAAGCAAGCACCCCACTCCTAAACTAACCCCTAAAAAATAAAAAAGAAAGGGAAGAGAGGGGAGTGAGCCCAACCATCACAAATATTTATGCAGAAAGTTATAGGTGACCCCAGAAGAAATCTGGATCATGCAGCATATATTATTTCGAATGAGACTATACACACACACACACACACACACACACACACACACACACACACACACACACAAGTCATAGTTAATTCTAAGTTAAGGACAGGCTTCAGGAAGTACTGCCTATTGGCTTATAAAGTCCCACCAGTAGGAAGAAGTCAAGATTTTGCTCAGGTTTGGCCCCCAGATGAGTCAAGCAAGATCTGGGCCATTTCTGAGGACTTGTAAACGTGGAGACGAGATGGAAAGATCTCTTGTATAACGCTAACACTGAAACTAGCAAAGTCTCCTGTCTCAACCCCCAAACACAGGTAGCCCCTTCTAACAGCAGAAAGGAGTATATCCACCCATCCATCTGAGTACAATACCTAAACACTAGTCACCGAATCCTGAATGGGAAAAGCCAGAGGGCATCACAGCAGAAGGGGGCGGGGGGGGGGGGGAATGAAAGTTGCATCCTGGACCCCAGACGGCTGCTCTCACTATCCCTTGCCTTGCCTCCTGCACACCTAGGGGTTAAAAGACACACTCATGTGTACAGCTGAGACAGATTCAGCTGAAAGGCTGCCCCTAGTTTTCCTGTGTAGCTTTTAAAGTCTCGGAGATTTTATTTTTCACTTACATGGGGCTTTAAATACATCTCAAAATGAAAAATTCAAATGTGTTCAAAAAGTAAATTTCAGCTGGGAACCTCAAAAATATCCCTTCATTCTGGTTTGGCAGATCCCTTTGTCCCCTCCCACCTCCAACATTGAGCTTTTCTCCAGCCCGCACACATCACGATGGATGGTTATTAGAAACACAGTCAGTCCCTTCCCACTGGTACCCCGCTGTCACAGTCGGGAACAGTCCCACTAGCCGGGCATCTTCATCTTTCCGCCACTGCTCCTCACCGTGGGAGGAAAGACCGTTAAAGACAAGATGGCAAGGGCAGCCGTGAGGAATGTTTGGTTCCCGTACTTCAGCTGCCTCTCCCAAAGCAACCCTAAATAAAACCTCCCCTGAGGAAGAAGTGTTTTGCACGCATAACCTCAGACATTGTCCTGAGCCCTTCCTTTCCTTCTCCTCCCCATGCCTCTGGGTTCTATACTCTAAATCCCTTCCTACAGAAGTTCTGAGTCCCTGGTCCTGGCAAGGCCAACTGTACCCACCCTTCCTCTGGTGCATGCTGGAGTAAAAGGCAGGCTGGTTGTTCTTGTGCCCCAGGATTTGGAAAGAGGCTTGGTGTGGTGGTGAGGCGCATTTTTTGTTTTGTTTGTTTTTTTGTTTTGTTTTGTTTTGCTTTGTTTATTTTTTGCTTCCCCTGCCAGCCTGCCAGTTGGGAAAAGCCCAGTTTCTCTGGCTGTACAGTGACAGGTACTGTTCAAATGGTTTTATGTGCTTGTCACACTAATGTCACACAGCACAAACAGTGTAGGCTCTCCCGGCAGGGGCACGCTCCTTCTCCCACACTGTAGGAAACTGCTGAGATTAAACATCGCCTTTCAGTATAGAGCTTTACTTAAAGTAATGACGACAGAAATAACAGTCTGCGTCCTGTGTTCATAATTCCATGTTGCACAGGTTCCCGGTTCCAGTGCACAGGAAAACCCTGCGGAGCAACATGTGAAAGTACCAGATGATGCAATGGGGGAAAACATGACTTTCCCCTGGCTCCCAGAAAGGTCACTCTAAGAGGAGTCACTGCCCATCACCAGCTTTGGGGACAATGAAAGGGAAGCAGCCATGTCCTCCTGTCTCCTGTGTAAACAAACAGGGTTTGAACCAGGCATTGAAATGCTTTGCTAATGAGGCTCTTCTTGACAGATAAACATGAAGAGGCACAGCCACAGCTGAGCCAATTTAGAGGCTTCAGGAAGACAGACAGGGAGCCCAGCCAAGGGAGCAAGCCGGACCCACACAGGAAAGCACACACACACACACACACAAAGAGCCTAAGCAGCTGTAGGCAGAGCCATTCCTAACAAGTGTGTTAACGTGTTACCTGTGTGATTAAATAGTGTCCTCAAGCGCAAGGAGGAAGACAGTCATGGCAGAGGTAAGTGTCATAGGAATGGACCCTGCTGTGATAGTCACAGGGCAGACTATGGGCCATTTGTAGCATGAGGGTTACACAGGATAAAATTGTTATGTTGGGAAGGGGGGTGGCACAGCCCCAGCTCATTACTTTTAAAGGGAGAATCCCAAATAAACAGATAAAGCTAATCAGGTCTCCAATATAATCTCGGTTCAGGACAAAGTACCACGTGAAAACGACCCCCACTGCCATTACATGGTTTAAGCACTGGAGACTGCAACTCATAGCGGGTTGGTTAAGAACTTGACTACTGTAGCTGAATGCTCATCGTGAGCTGTTAGCTGGGCTCTCTGTAAAACCAGTGAGAATAGAAACGGTCCACGAATGCCTTAGAGAGTCTTACTGTTCATCTAATTAGAAAACGACATGGTAAATTTGAAATTAGTTTAGTGTGTTCTGTTTTCCCAAATATGCTTTGAAATTTTTATGAATTTTGAGGAATATTACGGCCTTGTTTGGTTTTAATATAGCCTTAAAGTAAAACCGCTTTTGGGAGAAAAACTAAATACCGCTAATAGCAGCTAGAAAGGAGAGAGGATGTGTACCAGGAAAGAATGGGCAGAATGCTTCCAGGAAATGGAAGCAAGGACAGTCAGAAGACCTAAGGTCTGCTCTGTAAAAGCCTGAACTCCCCACATATCTGAACACAGTGGCCTGGCAGTCAACATCCAAGATGCCAGTGGGTATTGCTGCCGTGCGAAGCCCAGGGTAACACCGTGCAACTAGACTTTCGGCAGTGACTGACATTCTCTGCTCTGAGCTGTCAATCATGTAGCCAACATTAACCATGAATGGCTATGAACACTTCAAAGCAATTAAGGGGCACACCAGAAAGATTAAGTTTCTTTTATAGACTTTTAATTAAACTACAATTAAATATCCACATCTGACCTACAATTAAATATCCACATCTGACTGGCAACTACCAGACTGGCTCTAGATTAATTTCATAAGCTTTGTTTTGAAACCTCACCAAACTGTTCATTTATATTTAATAGATTTTTCCATATAGGAATTAAATAAGATTTTACCCAAACGCAGCTTTTATATTGCTTGCATTTCACTTTTTTTTTTTTTTTTTTTTTTTTTGTTATTGTTGTTTTGTTTTTCAAGACAGGGTTTCTCGTAGTTTTGGAGCCTGTCCTGGAACTCTGTAGACAAGGCTGGCCTTGAACTCAAAGAGATCTACCTGCCTCTGCCTCCCAAGTGCTGAGATGAAAGGTGTGAGCCACCATGGCCATTGCACTTTTATAATTGTCTGGTTCATTGCATGTTTACGGCCTCTCTGCTAGGTCAGACACTCCTCCAGGATGGTGAAGGCTGCCTTGGCCTACACTCAGTCCCGGCTCAGGGTGATACCTGCATCTCGTGCTCTCTCTATGTATCCATGGATTCAGTAAGACATCCGAGTCAAAAAGAACAGCACCAGGACCGATGCTCTCAAATACTTGGACTCCTTTAAGAGTGATTCTGCTACATAACCCCAGTGGACAGTGTCATGGACAACTAGTCTCTTGTACTTACTCTCTTCATCCCATTACGCAATGCAAAAGTAAGCAGTGATTCTTGGGGCAGGCTGTACACGATCAATACTTTGAACAAAACTTTGGCTTCAGTGTTTTCTTAAAATGAGTCAATTCTGCATCATTAAGTACTCTTTTTATGCTTCCTTTAAAGACTCTTCTTTAAAAAAAAAAAGTATCTCACTTATACCAGTGTTCATAAACTGTACACAGAGCAGACTGAGTCGGGGTAGGAGTAGATATACCACTTTCTCCCTGTTTTTCTGACAAATCAAAGGGCATGTTAAAAATGTGTATTTAGAAAGATGTGCATCTATACATACACAGATATCTCCCTATGTACATATTTGCATCTACCCTCACACTGCTGAGCCCCTGATTCTCAAGTCTTTTGCTGCACATTTGGTCTACCTAGTTTGTGATGGTCAAGAGAACTGGATGAGAATTGTAGTTCTTTCTAGATAGGTCCCTTGAGATGAGTCACTGAACAGCCTCTGAACTCAAGTTTCCATATCTACAGAAAGCACCCAACTTCACAAGGTTTGTGGGAAGGATTGGCTTGTACACAGGCCAAAGAAGAAACAGGGAGAAGGCTTGGTGCTAAGCAGGTGGTCAGTGCTTATCGAATGGACAGTTTATTCCATCAGTTTCTTGGGAGCATTTTTGGAGGATTACACATTCTCTTACACAAGAGTTCATTATATTCAGGTGAACAGAGCCTGAAGGTCCAGAGGCAGATTGCAGGCCAGCCAATGAGGAGGGGTCAAACAAACAAAAGGATGAGATAAACTGCAACCTGGAGAGATAGGAAAACTTACTCCAAAATCTACCTGATGCCTGAGGCAGCCCCACTTAAAGGCCTCTCTCCTTGCTCTTTGGAAATGTTTCAACCTCCGGCTACTTCTGCAGAAGGCTACATCATGAAACAAACAGACTCCCATGCACCTGCAACCATTTATATATTGCATAACTCCCTCACTTATGGTCTATCTATCTTCAAAGTTTTCAGACTCATGGGACTATTCATTGAGCATCCTCCAAGCCTCACCCTTGGTAAGTTTGATTTCTAGCATCTTTGCCTGTTTTAAGAGTGTCTACAATGCATGATATGGCATATATAAACAGAACTGAGATAAACGGCCATTCTCACAGCTTGTATAACGATTCCAGCTCCTTGTGGCAATAAAACACTCCTTTAAAAAGTTAACCTCTGTATTTTGTCGCTAACTCCCTAGTAGGCAATACTTAAGAGTCAGGATGCTAAGACATAATTCAGCAGGACAGAAGGCCTGCTGCATCCATACCTCCGTTTCCTGCAGGGTCCCATGTTTTATGCACACCATGTCAGGACAAGTGATGGGAGACCCACATCCTTCTCGGATTGACAGCATCATATACTGTCGCAGGCACTATAAGAAGGAGAAAAAAAAAAGGAGATGTTTTAAACATCACATCCACTACAGTAGCACAAAGGTTACATAAGAGAACATCCACAGTGTCTTCCTAAATTGGCTGTCCTGGGGTTCCTGTACTCAGGAAACATAAGTTATCACAAGTGTGGGTACTAAAGAGCCATCACTTTGGAAAGAATGCAGAGCCAGGCCATTAATTACAGATGACTTCATTTTAAGCGTTTATTCAAGTCAGACTCCCCAATGCTCACTCAGTTTGCCTGCCATAGACTGGGAAAAGAAGAAGCACTTCCAAATTCACAGCAAATGTTTTCTCTCTTTTCAATCCTGATTTGATTTTCCAATTCTAGTTTGTTTTTTTAAATTTTTAAATATATTATTATATGTGTATGAGTGTTTTTCATATATACACGTGTGTGTGTGTGTGTGTGTGTGTGTGTGTGTGTGTGTGTGTGTGTGCGTGCACCATGTGTATCACAGAGGTCAGAAGGGGGTGCATCATATCCTCCGGAGCTAGAGTTATGGATGGTTAACAAACCACCATATGGGTGCTCAGAACTGACCCCAATCTCTGTAAGCTCTTAACCATCCCCTATCTCTCTAGCACCCCCAGTTCTGTTTTTAATCTAGTGGACCTCTCTTGTAAACTTACCTAAAAGTAGAATGGGCCTCATTCTGGGGTCCTGGAACTAAGCTATCCAAACAGAATAAAAACTACTAGTAAGGACTACATTATATAGGAACAAGTCAGATGGCTTCCTGCTGTCTGGGGGTAGCAAAGACAACCTGAAAGAATAGGCCATCCCAAAGACAGAAGCCTTACTGGATGCCATGTTGACAAGGATTTTGGTGTGTTTTGTCATTGTTTTTTTTTTTTTTTTTTTTTTTTTTGTTTTGTTTTGTTTTCTTTTGTTTTGGGACATAAGGTTTCACTATGTAGCCTGGGCTGAACCAGAACTTTCAATCCACCTGCCTCAGCCTTCTAAACTGCTTGTCCCACCGGGTCCTCCTTAAAGAGCTTTGGATAGAGAAATTAGAGAGTCACTGGGCAACCTGGGAAAGAAGAAATTCTCCCAAGAATAGGTAACAAGGGACAGCATCCACAAACTTGGTACTTATTGATTATTACACCTAGACCTTGGGCATTGGGTAGAGAGAGTACAGGAAAGGGGTGGACCATAACCTCCAATGCCTTCTTTATCCTCCTTACTCAAATACACATGCCCACAGGAAAAAGGAGACAGATATAAGATGAGTTCCACATGCACAGGTGTGGCCAAATGGAGCTTGAAACTGTTCAGAACAAAGTGCTATGTTGCTGTCACACATCGTGTAGTTAGGTCTTCAGGGGTCACATATATAGTTCTTGCTTGTCATTACTTTCTTAACAACTACTCTCATAACCTAGACGTTATTTAAGTCACATAATAAGATATGTGTAGTAATACACCAATACTATGCAAATAACTTTACATACTAGACATTTACCTGATTATAGGTTTAGCTGTCTTGGGAGGAATATTTGAACTACTGAACTACTTCCCAGAAGATACCAAAGGACTACTATTGCTCCACCAAATAAAACTCAGAAATCCAAAATCTGGCTCTTCAATATCTACTAATTAAATCCTAATTAGTGAGCCTTCATCTATCTATTTTCATGACCATAAAAAAAAAAAAAAGGAGCCAAGCTCAATTGTCTGAGGAGTATGCTCAAATACAATCTAGTAAACAAAGCAATGACTTACAAAATGATTATTTATAACAGTTTTTTTAAATTTACACTTCTGTATCAATCATTTACACTAAAAGCACTATCAGCTGGGCATGGTGGCACATGATTTTAATCCCAGCACTGAGGAGGCAGAGGCAGGCAGATCTCTGTGAGTTCAAGACCAGCCTGGTCTAGAGAGTGAGTTCCAGGATAGCCAGGACTCTATTACACAGAGAAACCCTGTCTTATAAAAAACAAACAAACAGTGTCCTGCATCATTACATAAAACATTAAATCAAAGTCTGTGGTCAGAATTTAACACAGAATCGTGAAATCTATGGCTTTTCCTGGCTTCTTAAAATGAATTTTCTTCCTATGAAAATGGAACCCAAGCATCACTATTATATTCCATTTAAAACTGTGCATTTTTCTAATTGAAATGACTAATGAATCAATAAGTGTAAGCAACAATGCAAGCCAGATGCATGTCTCTTTGGGGAGTTAGCAGTTCCCTTGTACAAGTAAATTTCTTCCATCACACCAACTCCCAGAAACTAGCTTAAATGCCTAGCATGGCCTATTCAAATCAATTTTTCAAAATCGTGAAAAAGATTTTCAAATGGTAGTTAAAAGACATGAGATCATGCCTTTGACATAGTATAAAATAGAGACCATGTATCAGGGAGTGGACATCTACCCCAATCACTTTTATCCTACAAATGGCCTCATTGTGGATACTAAATATTAACTTTCACTTTCTTGTTCATGAAATGGATGACAGTTTCTTGCTCTAAGATTTATGGTGGCAACCTGGTTCAGTCCTGGGGCGGTGACCTGTAGGAGAAAACAGCATCAAGGCAAAAACTCCAGAGGAACTGCACAAAGTGTCCACTGGCTCACACAAAGGCTCTCATCCCAAGGGACCCTGCAAAGGGCTGCCTACCACTCTGCTTCTAGAGACTTAACCTGTCTCCCATCCACCACATGGAATGTATTACTGCCTTCACCCTCTCCTGCCAGCTGCCACTCACAGAAACTGAGGTAAACAAGCTCTAAAAATATGTATTGTCCAGGCTCAAGGGGAAAGTATATGAGGAAAACAAAGTGACAGACTTCAGAGCAGAGCTGCTGACTGTGGCAGGTGACTCTACCTAGGACCCAGATGCCTGTCCTCATCATTTTTAAACTAGGGAAGTTAATGTCTGTTTAGTTTCAGGGTTTCATGTTTGTTCATGTGCGCACACACACACACACACACACAGGGAGAGAGAGAGACCCCTAAAACAAGGCCTTTGTAAGTTTCTAAATTGCTTTATCTTAGACCAATCTACCCTTTGGAGCTCTGGCATCTCCTTTCCACCCACTCTCCAAGGAACCAGTTAAACCACCTGGGGCAGAGAAGCTGCCCAGACAGAAAAGGTGTGTGAGCCAGAACATTCCACTAGCCTATAGACAAGCTTCTCTTCAGAACGCTTTGAGGGTACAGAAAAGGCTTAATGTTATGTAGTAACTAGAGAGCTATCGCTCAAGTTTAATAGGCAAAAATAATTATTTAAACTTACATTGCAAATTTGTACAGTTGAAATATCAAGGTTCCCCACTGGCTTATAGCAGATGTTATGTACGTGTTTTGCAAACCATAACACATCAACTAATAAATTTAGAAGATTTCCACACAAGCATTCGTATGTCTCCAAAAAATACGGTGCATTGTGATTTTTGGAGCGAGGTTGGAGCTGTATGCAAGGACCACAGTTTTGAGTGGATTCTTTTTATTCTAAGACACATGTTTGAGATGCAGATGCCTTAGCGTAGGTGATTTAGTAGCTAGGAGCTCAGGCACATGAGGTGTCATTAGTATGGGCATGCACTTCACCCAAGAGCACAGGAAGAACAACAGTTCCAGTCACTGCTCCCATAACATTTTTCATGTGCCTGTGCTCACGGTTAGCTTTCACTGAAAAATGCCATCTCAAATCCTCTCCTCATCGCTTCGGGTGTCTAAAGATGCACAAAAGAATCGAAAACGTTTTACAAGAACTAAACAAGTCAAACTCAGGTAAACAACAGCTCTGGAGAAAGAAAAAACAAACTGGCACCTAGTTTACACAGAAAGAGAAGCATAACAAAACTACCAACCATTTACTACGTTTAACAATGGCATGTCATTAAACTTGAGCAGTGTACAGGTCTTGCAGGTTTCTGTACGGCTGACAAAGTCTTAAGGGGATGTTTCAAAAACATTTCAAAAGCCCAGATGAAGGGAAGAATTGGTCCTTTTGTGTAGCTACCTTTCACTTAAATGGCCTGAAGGAGCAAGATAAATACTTGAAGACCATAAGGGTCATAAATAAAACCAAGACTCCTTGTCTCACTCACTCCACAGCCCACAAGGATTCCGATGCGATGTAGTCAAGCATTCAACCACCTAACATGGCGAGCCAGGTGACTCGTATTGTTCCTTCCAACTCAGTCTATGACTTATGTCAATGGAATTTTTCAAGGAAGGGATTTTTTCAAGGTTGTTGTTCACACTATGTCAAGGGACATGGCATTCTTCATAAGGTGTTCTCATCTGTCTTAGAGACATGGCAAAAAAGCTTGCAATGTACCCACCTAAGAACAAGCTATGAGCATAGACAATATAGTCATAGATAGGTAGATAATAATTAGCTGGATAGATAACAGATAATTGATAGATGATAGATGAATAATTGATAGGTTATAAACTACTAATAGATGATCAATGGATTATAGATGATAGGTAGATGATAAATGGACAGATAGATAATAGATGGCTGATAGGTAGATAGGGGATATGTAGATGATTGACAGACCGATTGATGGCTGATAGATTTCTGGTTTTGAGTATCCTTTACAAAACTGCTTCTTTCACCCAAAGTAGCCATCTATACCTTGTCAGAAGGGTCTTCCCAGCTAAGGCCAATTCCCAACCTCTTCTGGGTCTTTTTACATGGTGTATTTCCTCATCTACTTACCCTGATCAAAGAACTTTATCTTGTTTCCAGAAGGATCCTAGAAAAATGCAATGCCACTACAATGCATATCACTGGATGACTTACATATCCATTGAACTCTGAATTCTCTTCTCATGAGAGTATCACTGCATTTGTTTGTTTTGTTTTTTTGAGACAGGGTTTCTCTGTGCAGCCCTGACTGTCCTAGAATTTGTAGGCTGGTCTCAAACTCACGGAGGTCCACCTGCTGCCAAGTGTACACCACCACACCCAACTGGGCCTGCTTTGATTACTGTAGCTCTGTA